AAACGTAAGTTTTCGGCCAGAGTCTCGATTATTCTTAACGTTTCAATGTAAATCTTAAGATTTTAGTGGAAATGTTGGGTTTTTTTATTCAAGTTCTGAGACTATGAATTTCTTAACCCATGATTTCTTAAGCATTTCGCAGGGTGTAGCATCAGGAACATGCGGGAAATCGTGACCGGGTCGGCGTTCGGAGGCCCGTCGACCGAGTGCTGCCGCATATTTCGCGGCCTCCTCTCGTGCGTGGGCCCAAATGCTGCTCGAGCCGCTGCTCTCGGGCGGGCCCTGGCCTTCTCGCAGTGCCCGCGCGGGCCCTCCCGCCCGGGAACGGGGCGACCCTCTTCACCACCCACCAAACCACCCCAACCCAACCCGAAGCCCTCAATTTGCCTTCCATTTCCAGTGGGGGGGGGTCCGGGAACGTTGAAAAAACACATGGTATCCGTACCCCCCCCCCAACCCGAAATTCGGGTCAAATTCGGGTCTTCGGGTTGGGTTGGGGTGGTCTGGTAGGTAGTCACCTCCTGCCCGCTCGCGGGCAGCCCCGCGTCCCGCGAGCCGCGTCGGGCGAGCGACGCGTGCGCGGCGCCCAGCCAGGGGCGCCGCTCTCGGGCGGCTCCTGCGCGGCGTCTGGGCGAGAGCGGTGTACATCGCCCGCGGGCGCGGCGAAGCCCCGCGCGGCGGGCGGGCTTTTGGCGGGCGAGCTGCGCGCGCCGCGCCCGAGCGGCGCGCGCCGTCTGCACGGGCATCACGGCAGGGCTCGTTCCGATTCCTCCGACTCGATTCGATTTCGCCGCCTTCTGATTCAGCACCCACCAAGACGCCCCAGCCCAACCCGAAGGCTCAGGTTTGCCCTCGATTTCCAGTGGAGGGGGTCGTGAAACATCGAACAAAACACATGTCTAGCCCTTACCCCCCAACCCGAAGTTCGGGTAAAGTTATTCGGGTTGGGTTGGGGTGGTCTGGTAGGTAGTCACTGATTCCGATTCGACTCGACGTGGGACTCCGATGTGGGCTGTGTTTTCTCACCGGAGGCACACTCGCCTGCCGACGTCCGCCGGCTCGACCTTCCCCGACTCGGCTTCCGATTCTCGCCGGTCCGACTCCGTTCGATCGCCGGTCCGGTTTGCCGATTCGATTCTGGGCCCTCCTGCTTTTGGGCGGCGCTGGGGCGAAAGCGGCATTTCGCGCGCTCGCTCGCCGCGTGCGTCGTGTCCTGCATCCGCTGCGCATGCTCCAGCGCGTCGTCGACAGCATGCCTTTGCCGAAAGGGCTTGCGAAGCGAGCCGACGGGGCCCGCTCGAAGCTGTCTTCGTTCGACGAGGTGGCTGAGTGACAGCATGTGTGGATAGTGGCAAGGGTCGCTCTAATGCTCCCAGAACGAAGCGCAAGAGGAGGGTGCAAGGGTGCAAGGACATAGGCGATGAATCCGCGGAGAGCGAGGGAGAGATAGAGAAGAGAGAGGGAGATGAATAACGAAATTGGAGGTTGAGATGAAAGGTGAAAGATGGGAGAGAGAGTAGTGGAGTGGACGCCATGACGAGGTCATCTGAGGGAAGAGCGACGATGGACGAGGAAGACGAAGGATGAGGGAGGAGGGAGGAGGGGGAGCGAGGGGAGGGGGGAGGGGGAGGGAGAAGCAGAAAAGAGCAGGAGGGAGGTGGTACCGTTTCTAACTGGTTGTCGAAATAACCCTTCTTGTCGTGGCTTCCGGATGTCGGGCCCGATCGGCGGGTCCAATCTCTCCGTCACGACGCCCGTCTGGCTACACACTTGTCTGTATTGCACCCTCCTTCGAAGCCCATGCCTAAGTCTGTTTCCTCCTCCTCCTCCTCCTCCTCCTCCTCCTCCTCCTCCTCCTCCTCCTCCTCCCCCCCACCCGTTTGCCAGGCCCCTCGCAGTTTCCTCTTTTGCAGAGGAGCCCCCTTCGGCGTCTCTGCCCGCGTCGCTGGCCTGGGCGGCATCGTCGCCAGAGGGCCGCAGAGGAGGATGAGGAGGATGAGGAGGATGAAGCGATGGAGGTGGAGGAGGAGGAGGAGGACGAGTAGGAGGAGGAGGAGGAGGATGCTGATGCTGATGCTGATGCTGATGATGTCGATGGTGATGGTGATGGTGATGGTGATGGTGTTGGTGACGGTGTTGTTGTTGTTGTTGTTGTTGTGGTAGTTGTTGTTGAACATTATTAATTCTAAAGAATAATTATTGTTGGGCCCCCTGGTGCGCGCCCCCCCCGCCGCGCCTAGGCCGCAGCCACGTTTTCATCATTTTCGTGAGGAAGCCTCAGGTAATTCGATGTGATCAAGATCCGGTTGTTTTGTTGTAATCCGCTTTCCCTTGCAAAAAACACTATAAAATGAAATTTCTTGTTCAAATATAATCAAATTTCAAGAATCCCTTGCAAAAAATAAGGTAAAGTGGACATTCGCGCGCGCAAGACGAAATCCTTCCAAAAGCTTAGTGTTCGGAGCGATTTTAACATAAAAACATCAAAAAACCAATGGTTTTTCAACAAAAAAATGTCAAAATCTCATCCCGCGCGCTCTTGCGGATTCGTAGGAAACCCAACACTTTTTAAACATTTCTGTCAAACGGGCTTTTGCGAGCAACTTTTTCGAACTTCTGCGACAACGGTTGCGCACCTGCCAGGGCCATCATCCCTGTCAAATAATACCATGCGGGACACATTCGTTTTTTCTTCGCGCGCGCACGCCGAAATCTCCAAAAACCATTGGGCTTCTTAAGAATTTTAGCACCGCGCATGTATCATATGCATCATATGCAACAGATGTTCTGTGGAAGGCTTAACAACTTCTGTGGGTTAACAAGGCTTAACAACTTCTGTGGGTGTACGAACGTAGGCTTCACAACTTCTGTGGGTGTGTACCCCACGCCAGTGTAGTAGCCACGGTCGTCCGCACGCCACGAAGTGAAGTGTCCCAACGTCATAGGGCGGGAAGCTGGGTTTGGGTGGTCGCGAAGAGTCGTTTGGATATTTGGTAGAGCTTGTAATGCCCCCCCACGAAGTGGGGGTATTGCCTGGTGTCGTATGAAAACCCTGGCACTGGGGAGAACACCACGCGTTCGGGTAAAATGATTGTTGTTGTTGTTGTTGTTATTGGTGGTGGTGATGATGATGACGAGGAGGAGGTGGATGAGTATGACATGGGATGCTGAGGAGGATGATGAGGATGATGGGGATGATGTGTAATAGATGCTTGATGGTGGATCGTGGATGATGCCGCATGCTGGATGCTGGATGCTGGATGATGGATGTTGGGTGATGGATAGTGATAAGGATGATGTTGATGTTGGTGATGATGATGAGGAGGAGGAGATGGAAGAGGATGGTGATGATGTTTATGATGCTGTCGATTATGATGCGGCTGCTGCTGCTGATGATGATGATGGTGATGCTGATGGTTGTAATGCTGATGCTGCTGCTGATGATGATGGTGCTGATGACGACGACGATGATGATGGTGATGATGCTGCTGCTTGTGATGATGGTGATTATGCTGATGATGATGCTGATGACGATGATGATGATGATGATGATGATGATAATGATGCTGGTGATGATGGGGAGGTGGAGGAGGACCGTGATTCCGATTATGATGCTGCTGATGATGGTGCGGTTGAGGATGATGATGACGCTGATGATGATGAGGCTGATGATGCTGATGTTGTTCTTGCGTGGCGATGATGATACTGATGATGATGATGCTGATGATGGTGTTGGTGGTGATTATGATGATGATGATGATGATGATGATGATGATGATGATGATGATGATGGTGATCATGATGATTCGGTCGATGCTGCTGGTGCGGATGATGGTTATGCTTCTGATGTTTCTGGGGATTATGATCATGATGCTGCTGATGACGACGATGATGATGCTGCTGAGGATGATGATGTCGATGCTGTTGATTCTGATGCTGATGATGACGATGATGGTGCTGTTGCTGATGGTGATGATGATGCTGATGGTCATGATGACGATGATGATGCTGCTGTTGTTGTTGATGGTGTTGGTAATCATGATGCTGGTGGAGGTGGAGGTGGTGGTGGTATTGATGCTGGTGCTGATTCTTATGTTGACGATGACGATCAAGCTGCTGATGATGCGGCTGCTGATGCTGATGATGCTGACGATGATGACGAGGATATGCTGATTATGATGGTTATGCCGATGATGGTGATGATGATGATGATGGTGCTGATGCTGATCGTGATGCTGATGCTGATGATGCCGATTCTGATGCTGATGATGATGCTTATGATGATGCTGCTGCTGATGATGATGCTGCTGATGCTGCTGGTGCTGATGCTGATGATGATGATGATGATGATGATCATGACGATTCTGACGGCGATGATGATGGTGATGATGGTGGTGTTGCTGATGATACTGACGCTGACGATGACGATGACGATGATCTTGATGCTGCTGCTGATGATGATGCTGCTGATGATGATGCTGATGATGATGCTGATGCTGATGCTGCTGATTATGATGATGATGATGATGATTATGATGATGATGATGATGATGATGATGATGATGATGATGATGATGATGATGATGATGGTGCTGCTGCTGATGATGATGATGCTGATGATGATGCTGATGATGATGATGCTGATGATGATGATGCTGATGATGCTGATGATGCTGACGATGATGATGATGATGATGATGATGATGATGATGATGATGATGATGATGATGATGATGATGATGATGACGATGATGCTGTTGATTATGATGATGCTGATGATGCTGGTGGTGGTGGTGGTGGTGGTGATGGTTGAGGTGGTGGTGGTGGTGGTGAGGTGGAGGAGGAGGAGGAGGAAGAGGGGGAGGAGGAGGAGAGGGAGACGGAGGGGGAGGAGAAGGGGGATGAGGAGCAGGAGGAGGACGATCACGATGTTTGATGTTGTTTCTGTTGCGTGGCCTCCAGAGGCGCGGAGGAGGGAATGGGGAGGAGGCGGAGCTGAGGTGCCCGTGCACTTGCGCCTACTTCCTGTTCAGGAGGCCCCGTGAACGGGGGAAGACGCTGATCTCCCAGGCACCGTCGCTGCCGCCGCTGCCCCCCCGCCCTCGCCTCCCTCTCCTCCCTCCCCCACCGCCCGCCTGTCCCGCTCCCTCCTCTCCTCCCTCCTCCCTCCTCCCTCCTCCCTCCTCTCCTCTCCTCCCTCCTCCTCCTCCCTCCTCTCCTCTCCTCCTTTGCTCCTCCCTCCTCTCCTCCTTTGCTCAAGCCGCCGTTCTGGCCCGAGGCGGCGCGTGCACGGGCGCGGGGGGGTGCTCGCAACCGCGGGCGCGGCATCTGCGGCCAGGACGCGCGGGGGCCGCGTCGGCAGCGCTGTGCTCTGCTTGAGGGCCTGCCGTCTCGCTGGGTGAAGGCCAGGGGATCAGTCTGCTGTGAATGCCCTCAGCCTGCGGTGGTGGGGACGCCGCTGACGTACGCATCCGGGTGCCCATGGGCGCCGTCGTGGGCATCAGCATCACCGTGCGCGCCGCCCATCCCGTCGCCACCACCTCCAGGGGACCTGCGGCTTGGCCACCCGCGACAGGAGTGGACGGGGGCCGCGTGGTTCATGGCGGCTGGGGTATGCTCGCCTGGTGCGATGATGCAGCAGTCCACCTCCTACCAGTTCCAGCAGTACCAGTGCTACACTTCGAGTTGGTGGGGTCGGTTCCGGAGTGGGATAAGGTGAAGTTGCAGGGCAAGCAGGAGCAGTGTAAGAAGTACGTAGTACAGGAGTCCGCCAAGAAGAATGCCAAGGGCGGTAAGGGTGTGGTGCCAGACGTGTTGTCGGATCCGCCGAGGCGCCCTCTCACACCCCCGAGGCCTCCTCAGCCCAGGATGCAGGAGTGGGTGAAGATGGGGGCGGTGGAGGATACCATTCTTGATGCCGTGGAGACTTGGCGTACGTGGCAGCCTGCGGTCTCCTTTTCGGCGCGAAGGGCGGTAACGCCGCCGAGGAGGCACAGGAGCCAGTTCCAGCTCCTGGGCGAGTGGAAAGCGCGCAAGGTGGAGTTCGAGCCAGGAGAACATCTTCTTGGAGCAGGACCAGAGAGATATCGCTTGATCGACACAGAGGACCAGGATCTCGTTTTTTGCGGCCCGACCTTGCCTTGGGAGGACGGGGTTGGAGAAGAGCCTAGTGATCCTTGCGAGCCAGGACACATCAAGGTGGAGTTCAAGATGGCGCTCGTGTATCTGAAGGGGGTTCTGTGCGGAAGACGCTGGTGGATCCCTATCTTTCGTTGGCATGATCAGCCTTGGGCTATCGTGCGTGCTGCGCGACTTCATCCACGTCGGAGCCTGGCTCTTCGTGCAGGCCTGCTGGTGGCGGTGGCGGCGCGGTCTCTCCTCGTGATGGCTCTGACCTCGAGCTTGTGCTCACTGGTGCTCGCGCAGGTCTCTGGAGCTCGTTGTCGGCGAGGGGCTTCCAGAACTTGGCGAATAAAGGCTCTGTGTCCCCGAGGTCGGCTTTCCGTTCGATCTCGGGGCACGGCGGTATGGAGTTCCACTCGTTGGTGGACCAGTCTCGAGGTGACCGTCGAGCAGGAGATTTTGCTGAAGCAGCATCCGCCTTTACCGATTTCGACTTCCTCACCCTGAGAGCGCTCAAGGTCATACTCTTGGGCTCTTGCCGTATGTTTCTCCCAGTTTCTTGGTGAGCGCTTGTGCCTCTAAGAAATTTTAAAGTGCGTGTAGCGCTTGTGCTTTCACAGTTTGAGGGCGTGTGTCGCTTGTGTCTCTGAGGCTGACAGCTTGTGTGTAGTGCTTGTGTTTTTAAGGTTCAACTGCGTTTGTAGGGCTGGCGTCTCTAAGGTTTACGTGCGTGTAGCGTGTGTGTGTGTGTGTCCAAGGTGTGAGAGCGGTTTCGTTCGCCCCTCTCAGGGTTATGTGCGGGTCGCGATTGTCTCCCGAAGGTTGAAGCGCGTATAGTTCTTGTGCCTCTAAGGTTTCAGTGCAGTGCGCGTAGCCTTTGTGTCTGCAGGATGCCAGGGCGCACTGCGTGGGTTCAAACGGCACCGGGGGCGCCGAGCGCGCGAGCGGGCGCGCGCGCGCGGCGCACGGGCCGCGGGGAAGTGGCCCGGATTCCGGGGCAGGGCAGCCAGGAAGTGGCCCGCCTGCGCGGCCACTGGCCCAGTTCACCGGGGCCTGGGTTCTGTCCCAAGCACGGTGCGGCGCAGGGGGCCACATGCGAACCCCTACCCCTGCCCCCCACGATTTCCGAGGGGAAGGGTGGGGCTCACTTCGGGCTAGGGGTCGGGTTCGCATGTGGCCCCCTACTCCTGGAGCTGGTGTACGAACAGGAGACCACCAACAGCGGTGCGTCCATAGACGAGGTGGATGGGATCCGAGGTTCGGGGTGTACGTTCGGCGCCACCCAAGCATACCAATACTGTGTGTGTTTGGTTGTGTGGATGTGCGTGCGCGTCGCCCCCCACGGGCGACGCGCGCGCCGAGGAGTCTCTCGCCTCCTGCTCCGCTGCGGGTGCTTTCTCTCCGCGCCCGGGGCCCCGGGGCGCGGAGAGGTGCCATCCGTTCGCGCCCCGGGGCCCAGGGCCGCGGCACGGCACGGCATGCCAAAGCTGTATGTGTGTGGTTGTGTGTGTGTGTGTGTGCGCAGCCTGCAGGGGTAGGCCGGACCCCTGAGTCCCAGCTGCATCCTTCTTGTCTCACTTTCTGGTTCCGGATTGGGGTAGTTTGATCGCCACGTCCCGCCGCGCAGGTGGGGACGCTCGAGGGCAAAGTGTGTGTGTGTGTGTGTGTGTGTGTGGTTGTCATCTCTTCGCGTCCTGGGACCCAGGCGCGGCACGGCGCGGTGCGCCGCCCGCGTCGCCGGGAGCCCGGCGGCGCGGCGCGGCGCGCGCCGTGCCGCCCGCGGGCGCGGCGCGGAAGGCCGCGCCTTCCGGGGCCGAGGCGCGGCACGGGATGGGCGCGGCGCGCGGGCACGGGCGCGGCGCGGCGCGCACGTGGCCCATGCAGGTGCGATGCGTTGTCCAACGATAGCGCGCGCACGTACAGAGACAGAGAGAGAGGCAGGGAGAGAACGGATGAGCGAAACAGAGAGAGAGAGAGAGAGAGAGAGACGAAGAGAGAGAAAGAGGGGGGAGAGAGAGAGAGAGAGAGATAGAGAGTAGGAGAGGAATCCACATATATGTATGTATGTATGCATGTCTGTCTGTCTGTCTGTCTGTCTGTATGTATGTATGCATGCATTTATGTATGTATATATGCATGCATGCATGTATGTATGTATCTACGTATGCACGTATGTATGCATGTATGTATGTATGTATGCATGCATGCATGCATGCATGCATGTATGTATGTATGTATGTATGTATGTATGCATGTATGTATGTATGTATGTATGTATGGAATGCATGTGTGTGTATGCATGTATGTATGTATGTATGTATGTATGTATGCATGCATGTATGCATGCATGCATGCATGCATGCATGCATGTATGTATGTATGTACGTATGTATGTATATATATATATATGTATGTATGTATGTATGTATGTATGTATGTATGTATGTATGTATGTATGTATATATGTATGTATGTTGTGTATGTATGTATATATGTACGTACGTACGTACGTACATACGTACGTATGTATGTATGTATGTACATATATATATATATATGTATGCATGTGTGTGAGTGTATATATATATATGTATACACACATATATATATATACATATATATATATATAAGTACACATGGCGGCGCACCGGGCTTGGTGGCCGAGGGCCGGAACCTCGACCGCAAATGTGGGTCCCGGGGCCTGGGCCCGCCTCCTGGGAGGCCCAAAAACGCCCTGAGGAGCCCCGAGACAGCAATCCCAGCGGCCCCAGACGGTCTCGAGACACCCCCAAAACGCCGTCCAGGGGTCTCTGGCGACGCACGATGCGTTTTAAACTGCCCCAGAGGCCCCCAAGACGCCCCAAGAGGCGTTTAAGATGCCGCCCAAGAGCGCCCCGAGAGGGCAAACTCGTTGATTTTCATGGTTTTTTGCATCCTGTTTCTGTTTCGTGTTTCCAGCGCTAAAGCAACGCCCAACAGGCTCCCCAAACCGTTCCAAGACGGCCCAAGAGGCTTCCAAGAGGGCCCCAAGACGGCCCAAGAGAGCCCCGAGACGGCCGCCCGAAACGGCGCAAGAGGATCCCAAGAGTGCCCCAGGAGGGAGCTGAAAAATCAAGCTCTCCGCCCCAAGATGCCCCCAAGAGGCCCCAAGAGGCCCCCAGGCAACCCCCAAGAGGCCTCCAAGAGGCCCCAAGAGGCCCCCAAGAAACCCCAAAGAGGCTCCAAGAGTCCCCAAGGCGGCCTCCGGACGGCCCAGAAGGCCCCCAAGATACCCAAGAGGCTTCCAAGAGGTCTCCCAGCAGAGCTCGAAGATGCCAAAACACATGTATGTTCCATAGGTTTTTGAACAATTTTGGTGTTTCCGCCTGTTCCGCTTTCTGACGCCGCAAAACGCTCCGTGAGGCTCCGAGGATCGCCCCCAGACGGCCCAACAGGCTTCACAAGCGCCGCAGGACGGCCCAATGGGCTTCCAAGGCGCCGACCGGTCGTCCAAGACCGCCCGACAGGGGCCCGACCGCGGGCCGGGATCGTGAACGCGAACCGGGAACCCGAGATCTTCGCCCCAGGAGACCCCCAGGAGGCTTTCACAGGTCCCCGAGAACCCCCAAAGAGGTCCAGAGAGCCCCGAGAGAGGCCCCGAGGGCACTCGAGGAGAACGGAATGTCCAACATTCTTTTCAGAGTTCGCCTGGCAGGCTCGCTACGCTTGTCAAAAGGGAAATGTCAGATTCCCTCCTCCTCCTCCTCCTCCTCCTCCTCCTCTTGTTCCTCCTCAGGTTCCTCCTCCTCTGCGGCCTCTTCCACCCTCTCCAACTCCTCCTCGTCCTCCTTCTCCTTCTCCCCCAGGGAAACCCTTCAACTTCCCTTTTCCTCCATCTGTCTCCGGCTACGTCCAACCGCGGCGAATAGAAGGGCCCCCGAAATGCTTTCTGAGCCTGTCTTAATCAAGACGTTGTGGGTAGACCGTAGGAAATCTTGGAAGCCGCTTCGGCCGTCTTCGTGGTTCTTGGCAGCGCCGGAGAAGAATTGTCATGCAATAGAGATCCCCAAGAGTTCGACCATCCAGCCTAGCTAGATTTTGAGCGCGCGCGATGGTTATAGTATGTCTGTCTGTCTGTCTGTCTGTCTGTCTGTCTGTCTGTCTGTCTGTCTGTCTGTATGTATGTATGTATGTATGTATGTATGTATGTGCTTGTTTGTATGTATGTATGTATGTACGTACGTATGTATGTATTTATGTATGTATTTATGTATGTATATCTGTGTGTGTATGTATGTATGTATGTATGCATGCATGCATGCATGCATGCATGTATGTATGTATGTACGTATGTATGTATGTATGTATGTATGTATGTATGTATGTATGTATGTGTGTGCGTGTATGTGTGTGTATGTATGTATTGTAATGTCATGTGTTGTAATGTGCTGTAATGTAATGTAATGTAATGCAATGTAATGTAATGTAGTGAATGTAATGTATTGTAATGCAATGTAATGTAATGCGATGTATTGTATTGTATTGTAATGTAATGTAATGTAAGGTAATGTAGTGTAATGTAATGTAATGTAATGTAATGTAATGTAATGCATGTATGTATGTATGTATGTATGTATGTATGTATGTATGTTTGTATGCATGCATGCATGCATGCATGCATGTATGTATGTGTGTATTTATGTACGTATGTATGTATGCATGCATGCATGCATGCATGCATGTATGTATGTATGTATGCATGCATGCATGCATGTATGTATTTATGTGTTTGTATGTATGTATGTACTCCAGATCCTTCAATAAGCACCGCCCCCGTGCCAACCTGTCCGACGCCCCTTGCCCGCCCCCCCACGCGCCCCGAGCCTACCCCCTCTCGCTCCCCAACCTTCCCACGCCCCCCGAAGGACAGCGGTTTCCCACCCCCCTACGCGATCCACGCCCCCACGCTTATTGAGAGACCTGAGTATGTATGTATGTATGTATGTGTATGTATGTATGTATGTATGTATGTACGTACGTACGTACGTACGTACGTAGTATGTATGTATGTGTATGTATGTCTGTGTGTGTATGTATGTATGTGTGTGTATGCATGCATGCATGCATGCATGCATGCATGCATGCATATGTTGTATGTATGTATGTATGTATGTATGTATGTATGTATGTATGTATGTATGTATGTATGTATGTATGTATGTATGTATGTATGTATGTATGTATGTATGTATGTATGTATATGTGTATGTAGGTGTGTATGTATATGTGTGTGTATGTGTGTATGTGTGTGTGTATGTGTATGTGTAGGTGTAGGTGTAGGTGTAGGTGTATGTGTATGTGTATGTGTATGTGTATGTGTATGTGTATGTGTATGTGTTTGTGTATGTGTATGTATATGTATGTATATGTATGTATGTATGTATGCAGGTAGGCAGGTAGGCAGGCAGGCAGGCAGGCAGGCAGGCAGGCATGTATGTACGTATGTATGCATGTATGTATGTATGTATGTATGTATGTATATATGTATGTATACATCTGCACATATATATATATATATATATATATATATAAACATAAATTAGAGCGTGATCCACCGCCGCTTTACTGTGGAAAATTGCCCACCCCCTCTTCCTCAGGAATCCGGGGGTCCCCCCCCCTTCGAAAATACCCCCCCCTGCTAGACATCCCCCCCCCCTCTCCCGGCACCCCCCCCCTAACCCCTCCCCCCCCCTCCGGAAAACCAGTGGGGGTCACTACCGGTTCGAACCCCCCATCACTGAAAGCTGGGGGGGTTCATTATTGGTTCGAACCCCCCCCTCACTGTCCCATTGTCCCCGCCACTGTCCCACTGTCCCCACACCACTGTCCCCACCACTGTCCCCACTGTACCCCTGTCCCACTGTCCCACCACCGTCCTCACCACCTCCATCACCACTGTCCCCACCACCACCGTCCCCACCACTGTCCCCACTGACCCCACTGTTCCCACCACTGTCCCACTGTCCCCACACCAGCGTCCCCACCACGACCGTCCCCACCAGTGTCCCACTGTCCCCACCATAAGCCCACCACTGTCCCAGTGTCCCCACTGTTCCCACCATTGTTCCCGCTGTCCCTACCAGTGCCCGCACCAGTGTCTCCCTTTCCCTTTGTCCCCACCATCGTCCCACCACGGTCCCACTCTCCCCATTGTTCCCACTGCCCCCACCACTGTCCCACTGTCCCCACTGTTCCCACCACTGTCCCACTGTCCCCACTGTCCATGCCGCTGTCCCACTGTCCCCAGTCCCCACCACTGTCCCACTGTCCCCACTGTCCCCACCCCTCTCCCCACTGTACCACTGTCCCACCACCGTCCTCACCACCGCCTTCACCACTGTCCCCACCACCACCGTCCCCACCACTGTCCCACTGTCCCCACTGTCCCCAGCAGTGTCCCGCTGTCCCCTCACCACTGTCTCCACCACCGCCGTCCCCACCACTGTCCCATTGTCCCCGCCACTGTCCCACTGTCCCCACACCACTGTCCCCACCACCACTGTCCCCACCACTGTCCCACTGTCCCGAGGAGCGAGAATCGTTTGCTGGCGGGGAGTGGGGGGGGGAGGGGCTCGAACCGGTAGTGACCCCCCCTTTTCATGATGGACGGGGGGGGGGGGGGAGGGGCGGGGTTCGAACCGGTAGTGA